CACCGGCCGGCTTCTGATACCAACATATAGTCCACTGTTCTTAGCTATCAAACCTACTATAAAGTGCAACACATTGCTTCGAATAGCACTTTCCCCCACCGGAATTCTTGTTGGAGTCTTTGAGGCACAGGATACTTCACCGACGTACCTTCCAAGTCGGGATGGTTGTTAGAGAGCCACCTCAATCCTGACATGCCACCACTCCTACAATTCCATGATGAGTGTATACGAGCTATGAACCAGACTACATGGTTTGTCTAGATCTTAAACAACAAAGCAGAGTTGTCACTTGTACCATAGGCAGACCGTGGTAATATATGGTATTGCACAATTCATACAAAGGAGAAGGGTGCTAATTACACATATACTGTACCAGACTATGTGTATAGGCTCTTTCCATACTCTCAGACCTAATAGAAGTGTACTGAGAGAGCACATAGAAGTCAACAAGCATTAGCACAGGAGGAACTCGATATTTAGAGGTGGATGTCACTCTTTTCCATCACGCGGTGCCAGGACCCCGAGTGCAAGCCCGCATTGCTGTGCTCGATTTCCTAAAGTCGACCTGGTCCTGCTCGGCAACGGTACGGAGGCCCTACCGTTCTCATCGAGTACTAGTGGCTGTCGGGTACAGTATCTTAAAGAATACTTCCGGAGCGCTCCCGATTCGCTCATCGAAGCGTAAACGCCGTGGTTCCCTTCGTCGTGAGCAGGGCAGTACCCCGCACCACACACGGTTAGACGAATTGGTCTGATGCTTCTCGCTGGTGGTCGCCCGTCACTGAGTACACCTCCTGGGAGGCTAGTCCGGGTCGCAGCACGGTTCATACCCGTGCCGCTCTGATCATTACTCATCCGCTTGGCCTCTCAGGACTCGAAACCCATTCTCCACACCGAGGTTTCACCGTCGCCACCGCCAACCGTATCAGTCTCTGAGTCGCCGTTTTCACTATGAATTGTGTTTTTGGAGGAATGGCCGCACGCTTCTCAGATGCCTGCCCTCGTTTGGCCTGGCGTATCACCATTCCTTATGAGGGCAGTGGCGTACGGCGAACCGCCTGTTCACACTTTTGGATAGCTTCTGCCAGAGGTGCGCTATTTTAATACCCGCTACAAGTTGTCTCAGGATCTTTCCAGGCACCCCGGCCCCCGCCCCCGTCCCCATTTGCAGCCGTCCAACTCGCTACGGCGTGAGGGGTGTGCCTGGCACGTTCTTGCGGCAACACCGGTACTCTTCAATATCCTCTCGAGATTGGAACTCGAGTGTGGGACGCTCACACACCGGTGAGCAGCGGATACACCTCTCCCGTAGACTCCTGTACCGGGTTCCCGCAGAAACACTCCAAGCTCCAGCCAGCCTTCCAATCAGGCATCTTATGCCCGTAGTTCCGAGCCGCAGAGATCCGTCCTTCTACGAAGCAGGCATCTCAGCCTCGACGAATCACTTCTACCTCGGATCCAGCCCTCGTCGCTGTTCTTGAGACTAATAATACATTGCTCTGCTCGGGCGTGCCATCCAAGATAGCACCCGCTGATGATCCCCGCGATTAATGAAATCAATGTTATCGCAACGTTGTCAGCCTCACCAACATGAAGTCATCGATGCCATCCCTTGCGCAATGCCCCAAACTGAAGTAACGTCACTCAGCAACCTTTAGATCGCCCCGGGGCACGCAATTACATGCCATCCTTTCCTCCTCCTGATGAGAAAGGCTAACGCGTAAGACATACATATTCACATTAAACAGTATATACACTATCGTCACAACTGTATCTTAGCATGTATCGTAGCGATGGCCTAAAAGTAGCTAATCGCCTATCCTGACGTATTGTAAGAAGGATTGAAGAGCTTCGAAGAAGCAGGGTATGTACGAACAGGGGATAGCAGTCACTTACAACGTACTCGTACAAGTTTAGGAGATCGGCGCGCTTTCTGGCGTCATCGGCTTTCGTAACATAGCGTCTTCTAATGTCAGTCATATCTTTGCAGATCAAGTGTCTGTTTACTTTTAAATGAGGGTGCATGTCCGAGGAGTTCAAGGGCGTGGTCCACCGTGGAGTGCCCGGTATCGATGGGGTATCATAGGTTCATTGGTTAATGTCCGATGGTGTGGCCAGCTTCAGAGCCGAGACCATCGTCAAGCAGATCCCTGAACGGATCCTGGAGCACCGAGAGTGGCGTCTCGGGATTCGACTGTCCCGTCCTGACGGTCCGCCGCGTATCCTGCGTCTCGAAGGTGGTCATACTGTGCGTTCTGTTGTGCACCAGCTGCGAAAGGTAACATTGAGCATGACTCGAGATACCCTGCAGGACTGTTTGACTTACTCCTCCTATAGGTCGCGAGTAGTCCACCTCATCCAGCAAACTGATATCAGCCGTGCTGCGAGCAGCCTCGCCTTCGAGTCGTAATAAGCCATCTCCTGTCGTTGCGTCCGTCGCAGCAGGCGAAGGCAGCGCCGACGAAGATTCTAGGGTGACCATCCGAGGACCGAACGTTCCTTGATCATGCCAATGAGGTACGAAACCCGGGCGGTTCGCCCGCACGAGACTGCCGTGGCCGCTGTCAGACATCGTGTGAGGCCTCATGGGGACCATGGGCGACGTGGGTGGCAAGGAAGACCGGGGACCAGGCCTCGACACCAGTTCAGGGGGAGGCTCAAAGAACGTGGGGACGGTCACTGCAGACTGAGGTCGCGGCTGCCGCCAGTTGAGACCGCGAGATAGCAAACCACGGACGCTTGAAGTTCTACTTGGAGTCGGGCGTGCAGACCCTTCTAGACCTCCGACCACGGCACGTCCAGCGCGGTTATCTTCCCCGGAGTGCGACTCCGAAGAGCTACCATGTCCAAGGGAAGATTGGCGTCGTGTCTCTGGCACAGACAAGCGATTCCTTGAAAGGGCACCGTCAGGGGAATATAATGCTGATGCAGGTGAGTGCCCCATGGAAGACGGAGCTAAAGCATGACCTTCCGAGCTCCCGCTCCCACTTGCATATGCACCGACGCGAGCGAGGCCAGACAAGAACTGCTCGTCAACCTCGGGATCCGAAGCCCCTCCAGTTAATATGAGCGGGTCTTCAGCCACAGCGCCCGATGGAAAGCGCGATACACCACCCGAGGGTGCAAAACTGCCTCTTAGCCACGCACTCGGAGGTGGTCCACCCGGGATATGCTCCGTCATCACCCTTGGACTACTGGATATACCGGCCTCGTCAGAGCCGTCAAAAGGGTCGGCGAAGGGCCCGAACGCCGCAGGGCTATGGCCCGATAATGCTCCTGCAGAGTACGGCTCATCTTCATCCACAGATGCATAAAGCGTTCCATCACGACTTCGGAATCTCGAGACACTACCGTAACCCCCAGCAGCGGCCAGCGGGAGCACTGCTCGCTCACCCATTGCACCCCCGGGTGCCGGATGTGAGTCAATCTCGTTATCTAGAGGCCCTGGGGATTCATCACGAAGACTGGCGAGTGCGTCACTCTCCAGACGCTGGACGCGACGCGTCCTCATGGCAAATTTGATCCAGAGCACAAGGACGAGTATTGCAGCAAGGGAGCCAATGACGATTCCGGCAATTGCACCAGGATCGTGCTTAAGTCTTCATAATATCAATCAATATAGATGAGCTTTATTCTGGCACGGGCCTTTTGGAAGTTTCACTTACGACTTTGTGCCAGTAAGGGAGTTGGGTATCAATGTCTGAGTAGGCACCACGGTTGTGATCGTCGTGACCAGTCCGCCGGGTGAAGTGGAGGTATAAACCAAAGTCACGCTCACAATAGATGTGCGCCCATCGCCTCCGCGCCTCGAGGTGGAGTCATCGGTGAGAGAAGTGGAATAAGCCAAGGCGCCGGGGGAACTCGTATCAGACGGGCGCGAGGTTCGAACAGTGGGTGTGGGCGTCCCGCTGATACTGCACATAATATGATCAAGTCAGTAATCTCAAGCAAGCAGAGGTCTAAGTACATATAACTTACGTGCGTTGGGCACCTGATCTCGGGCTGCTCGACAAGCCATCAGGACGTCCATCGCTGAGAGACGTAAAATGCGGACCGGCCCCAGTGGCGGTTTCAGACGGATTCGTTGAGCGGGTCTGCTGAGGAGATCCCGACCCTGAAGGGCCCGGTCGCCTCGAGGACCCTGCTGTCTCCGAACCAGAGACCGCATGAGACGGAGAGCTGCCACCAGTTTCACTAGGCTGTCTACTGGAACGACTGGAACTGGGATTGCCCGAACCACTCGAACCACTCGCCGTAACATTGTCAGTCGTAGGCGATACAGACGATCCCCTGTGCGACTCAGTCGCACTCGGACTGCGGGACGAGTCCGACCCAGAAGGTGAACTACTCGGATCTGCAGTGGGAGTGGTCGTCCGATTACCAGACGTCGTCGAAGAGGCACCATCCGTGCTTCTCGACCTCGAGGTGGGCTCACCAGAGCCGGAGCCGCTGCTGCTCCTGGATGTAGCACCCTGCCCCGGATTGGAGACCGAGGTGTGCGAATGCGGCTCAGTCGACGTCGTTGAGCCGCTCCCGTCCGAAGTCGAACTAGCGGAGCCTGATGATTCACCTTGACCTGGATGACTGGGGGATGAGTGCGACGCGCTAGAGGTGATCGTCGACGTCAATCCTCCACTGTGCGAGGTCGTCGACGTCCCTCCCTGACCCGGATGACCAGGGGACGTGTAGGTTGTAGTAGCGGAACTTCCGTCACTGCTGCCGGATGTCGACGCACTGCTGTGGGAGGTCGACGACGACGTCCGACCCTGGCCTGGATCATCAGATGATGTACGGGATGTGGTCGTAGACTGGTCACGACCAGTAGCAGACGTCGAAACGCTGCTGTGCGAGGTCGTCGATGTCCCACCTTGGCCCGGATGCCCAGGTGACGTATGGCTAGTCGTGCTGCCGCGAGAGGTCTCCGACGTGGCACCTCCATCCGAGCTGCTGCGTGTACTGGTTCCACCTTGGCCAGGAGCCCGCGAAGGCGATGTTGAAGGAGGTTGGTTGGTAGTTGATGTCGTACCAGGGCCTGAACCGCCCTGTGTCGTAGTATCTTGCCCGGCACGGCCGGTAGAAGTGCCCGGCGGATCCGACGAGGGACTGCGGGTCGTCGTCGTGCTATCCCCAGATCCTCCTGGGGGTGCACGGGTCACGCTGGTGGGAGAAGTGGTGCGCGTGCTCGTGTCCGGGGGCGCCGGTGAAAGAGACGTCGACGTTTGACCGGATCCTCCTTGGGGAGCGCGGGGAGGGCTGGTAGACGGCGATGCGCCATGCTCGCTTGACGGCGACGCGCTGTCATTATGAGACGTGGTCGGAGGTGAGGTGGGACTACTAGGTGCAGTGTTCCGGTCCGGGGTTGAACTCGAGCCTTGCCCTCCCTGGGCAGGAGCACTCGCAGGCGGGGCGGGGTCGGAGTGAGTGGACGCCGAGGATGTCGTGGTAGGTCGGGACGGCTCCTCGGACGAAGACTGCGCCTCAGAAGTATGAGAGGCTTGTACCGGAGGAGCCGCTGGGGAAGTGGAGGTCGCTCGAGCAGGCGTGGACGGGGATGCGCTTGAAGGGGAACTCTCAATACTAGGGTTCGGGCTTAGCACAGTAGACGGAGAATTTGCGGGGGTGCTGGCTGAGGTGGTTGGGGCGCCAGTAGGAGTCACTGACGAATTACCAGGCGAACTGACGGCCTGGGGGGCAGCGAACACGCTCGCAGCAAGACTGATCCACAGCAGGCCGACAAGCCATGCCCGGCTTGGACCACTACAAGAAACGATTAGACTGGTAATTGCATTCTTCAATGAACACGCACAATAACATGTTCCTTCCAAGCTTTCTATGTTCAGTATGGTCTGTTATCCAGCCTCAGTGAAGGGGGGGGCAAGATCAGGTATATGTGGTATAGTTTCGCATGCGATCGCGTTCCAACCTGACTAGAAAGGTCTGATAAGTTGGCCGCTACGGCGAAATGTGTGGAAGATCTAATTGGACTCCAGAAGCTGCAAGAAAGTCCAATCAGCCAAGACTTGTAGGGACTAGGTCAGAGCTATAAGGCGCGTACGGTATAACAGGCAGCAAGAACCATCGTCGCGCTGACCGACGTAACTCATTGCGTCCGCACCGACGTACGTATTATAAGAAAATGCCGTGGATAAGCAGGGCGCTCCGGGTTCACTTTAGGATCAGCTCCTGCTTCTTCTGCATTACCGCCGGCAGGGCGCATGCCGCTGATGGCGACCGTTTCTGATGCCCCTTGTTCCGTCATAATTGCCACAAATTTCGCATATCGTACCGCCGGGAACGTCAAGGATTGGAGCCAAGTCGTGTTGAATGCTTGATGCTGTTTGTATCTTTCTTGTAAGTGAAAGGGGGATTTCTACCGAGTTACAGTCGACTCTGTCTTAACCCATACCTGTCATAACCCATAACCTGTAATAACCCATAGGTTTTTGGCTTCCACCGACATGGTAGATAGTAAAAACCCATAAGTCTGCCGTATCCCATAACCCATAACTTTTTGGAGGGTCATAACCCATAAAACAACCTATATTAGGAAGGTGCAGGTCTCCTTCCCACGAGAACCTGGACTATCTCGACCCTTAATTTTCGGTTCTCGTGGTATTTCAGAAGATAACCCTTACCAGACTCAAGATTCCGTATCTAAACGTTGTCATAAACGACGTCCGGCCTATACCGAATAGGCTGTGTGTCACGCTTACTAGGTAGTCACACGGTGTCACACGCTCTGGTAACCCATAGTCTGCAAAAACCCATAACTTTTGGGTTCCACGACCCGTTATGGGTTAGGACAGAGTCGACTGTACCTCGCAAGACCAGGCTGCTCGACACGTTGCCTCAGGCCCGTTGGCGGCGCTTCAAAATGTACCTGGAGCTCCACAACCACACGTTAGCGCGTTTTGCCATAACGCACGATCGCGGACTTGCTCCCACGACCGCGTTAACGATTCAAGCACCGGGCCCGCTCGTCGCAGTGGCTTGCAGCTCCATCTTTACCGTCCAATTCCTCAGTCGACGCCGACACCACCACTGGCGTCGGCAGCGACCCTCCACTAGCTACCTAGAGAAACAGGAGACGTGTTGGTTTGCCCCGTCAACGCGTGCTGCTAAGCAGGTCTATGACGCTGATGACCGCATCATTACTCATTTATAATTGAGTACAGTGAAATGGCATGCCCACGCCGAGACGCAGCCACTGCTGCCGCTGACAGAGAACCTTACCGTTGTCCAAGGGTATATGTATTGTAAGCCAGGCACGTTGGACACGGGGAGCAGAACCGGTGAGCTTAAGGCGAGTCACCGAACGTAAGGATTCGATTCGGGATGAGACAGGGATAGCCATCTAATGAGAGTCCAAGTTAGCTAACCTCCTACAAGTTAGTACAACCTCCGAGACGAAGGAAGTGGAATCATTAGCCAGTCCGAAAGAAGTGGCTAAGCTAGGCTAAGCTACATATCCACCAAAACGAAGGATCGTCCCCTACGGTCGGCGAAACAACAAATATAACAGCAGTAAAAAAATCCCCAGAAGTGCAGAAGGATCAGGGACGGAGGGTGTTCGGAGCGTCCCCTATTCCAGCATCTACACCATAAAACCCAGTGAAGCCCAGTGAAGTGTCTGAACGAACACAAACAACGAAACGCGTCCGTGGGGCAGATCAGGTGATTCTCCGCTTGAGTCACCTGATTTTGACGTCATAGAGACGCGCTGTCGTATGGATACCAAAAATAGGTACCTCCCTGGTCAGCCGCCGGTGCTTGAAGCAGTAGTTGGCATGCCTCGATCGCAAAACCTGCCCATTGATGGAGCTCCGCGGCCGCGTCTCCCAGCTCTCCTGTTCTCCACCAAGATGGACGTGCCGCGTCGAACGGCTGCGTTCGTGATTTTGTCGTGTTTCATGATATATATCTTGGTGCACGGGATGGAGGAGGCGTCGGTGGGGGGTTGGGTGGAGAGGGAAAGGGAGGGGCAAGGGGATGTGGAACGTGAGTGGAATGAGTTGGATTGTGAGAGCAAGAAGCTGAGGGTTGGGACAGGCGCGCCGGATTTTAATAGATATATTCATACCAGGACGCTGTCCGAACAGGATATTGGATTAGGTATGTGGAAGCACTTCGCCTAAGGCGTCTAGACTGACACCGCTTTTGCAGGTGACCCAGATCGCCGTGTTATACTGGTAGGAGATCTCCACGGCATGAACGAGTCCTTACAGTAAGAACCTGTTATGTTACTTCCTCTAAGATGTGCGTTCTCATCGTTGTCGCCCTTGCCAGCGACCTCCTCACCTCCCTTTCCTACAATCCCTCCGCAGACACCCTCATCCACGTCGGCGACCTGGTGCAGAAAGGCCCCATGTCCGGATCCGTTGCCCTCCTCGACTTTCTCGCCTCCAAGCGCATCTACGGCGTCCGCGGGAACCACGACCAGCCCGTCGTCCAATGGCGCTTGTGGTTCAATTGGATCGAGGCGCAGAAGGGCGGGAAGGAGTGGTTGCGGGATATTGAGCGGAAGCACCGGCGGGGAGAGCTCAATGCTGAGGAGAAGAGGGCGATGAAGAAGCGCAAGGGGAAGTGGTGGAGCAAGGTGCCGAAGGGTTGGAAGATGTTTGGCGTGCATTACAGGATTGCGAGGTGCGGAATTTTCATAGCCATGGTGCTTGATAGGCTCAACATGGTACACAGGGAGATATCAGACGAGCACTATGATTACTTGGTGTCCTTGCCGCTCGTCCTGCATATCCCATCGCAGCATATGTATGTGGTGCATGGGGGACTGCTGCCGTATAACCCCAAACGTCCCATGGACCACCCGAAGCAGCCTCTGGCTCACCTGCCTTCGCTGACTTCCCGCCATGTGGGGAGCGTAAATATGGACGAGGAGGAGATGCGGGTGGCTCAGGAAGTCGAGCTGCTGACGAAGGTACCGCAGAATACGGATCCGTGGGTGGTCATGAACGTCCGGAGTGTTACGGATTCTGGCAAGATCACAAGGTACATAGGTTTATCCCTGCGTCGGCGGGTTGCTGACGGTGCTGTGATGCCGCAGGAAATCAAAGAAGGGCACGCCGTGGACGAAGCTGTGGAACAAGACCGTGAAGAAATGTGCTGGCTTTGACGTCACTGCGCGCAAGGGAAAGAAGAGAGACGAGCTGCCTTGTATGCCATCGACAGTTGTGTACGGACACACTGCTTCCCGTGGGTTGGATGTGCATAGGTGGAGCGTTGGCCTTGACAGCGGATGCGTGAGTGCTCCTTCCTGCGTTTTGAATGGTATCCCGTGTGCTTATTGTTGTCGCGTATCCTAGGCTCATGGACGGCGACTCACGGCGCTGGTGCTGTCGGGCGCGGAGTTGGCATCATCTTTGCAAGCCAGCAGTCTGGCTGTCGACGGCAACCTCACGAGCGATGCTCTTGCCGTTCAGGGTGATGACTATCCGATACAGCATCTAGAAGACGACGAAGACGACGAGCAGGACAACCGGGACGAGGATGACGACGACGATCCTGACTGGGACGATGAAGAGGAAAACGGCAAGAAGCCGAAGGACGCGACTAAGATCCCGTTCGGAGACGATGGGATTGGGAGGCTTTACAGCGTCAAGTGTCATACGAAGTGATTGGTACAGGGTAATGGATCCTGGTTTGGGTTCTTGGAATTTGGATCATGTATTTGTAGGATGCCAGACATAATGTCTTAGGGTAATTTCTTTGTATAGTCTTGTATCATCTTGACCATAGTACTCTGTTTACTGTACATAGTCAATAATCAGTGATGATTCATCTTGTCTACGATACTGGGAAACGCAGCCACAATCTGGCTGTGGCATTGATTGTGGCATTGGCCCCGGGCACCGCCACCCAGACACCCCGAATGAACTTTGAAGACCGGTTTTCCTGATACGGTAAGTAAGTACTACAGAACACCGTCTCCGGTTCTCAGGCGTCTGCGACATCGAGCTCGACGTTCGACGCGACCTTGCTAACTTTGGCTTCAAAAGACATGTCGTGGAACAACGATAATTCAGGTTATCCTGGTCAATACCACGGCTACCAGCCTCCTCCGGTCTCTCCCCCGAACGGAGGATATGGCTCGCCACCCGCGTTCGTGCTGAGATCGTCGTGATTTGAGTAGAGATACTGACCCTGCTGGGATATGTAGCTTTCCGTCTCCGTGAGTGTTGAGATGCTTTTGGCGTGAGAGGTTGAGGATTGAGTACGGGGTCGATCGACGTTAGAGGCGGATATGGCGGCGGCGGTTACAATCCCGGCTATGCACCTGCCTACGGGCCTCCCCCGGGGGCACCTCCTGGCCAGTGAGTTTTTACTGCTGTTTCTCGATTCTCCAAACTTACGAGGGCAAATTTGATGATGAGATTTGGTGGCTCGTGCGTTTCTCCCAACTGTGTATCTCCTCCTATTAACATCTTGCAGGTATGGCGCTCCTCCGGGACCGCCGCCGCCGCCGCCCAGAGGATATGACGGTGGATATCCGGGACAGTATGCCCCGCCTCCTGGGCCTCCGCCGTACGTCTCGTCAATCACATACATCCACCATGTCCGTGGATACTGATGCACGCGCGTCAACTCAAGGCTCCCCGGAAATCGACCGGGCCCGGGAGGATACGCTCCCCCCCGTACGTCCCTTCTCAGTAATACACTTACCAGGAGCAAAATAACACATGATATGCAGCGGGACCTCCGCCGTTGCCGCCGACCCCGATGCAGAACTATGGGCCGCAATTCGAGGGCGCGAACCACCAGATGCAGCAGCCGTTCTTCCAGTACTCGCAGTGTAATGGGCGGCGCAAGGCACTTTGCGTACGCTCACTCCTCTTCCCCCTTCCTCGTCTCGCAAGTGCTCATGTATGCGTGCGCAGATCGGGATCAACTACTTTGGCCAGAGCGCTGAGCTGAAAGGGTGCATCAACGATGCGCACAACGTCAAAAACTTCATCTGCAGTGCGTACCTTTCCTCTTTTCTTCTCAGCCAGTGGGCGAACTGACGACTTATACGTGGTTGGCTTGCAGGGCAGTACGGGTATAAAGAGGACGACATCGTGATGCTGACGGACGACGCGAGCAACCCCAGGCAGATCCCGACGAAGGATAACATCGTATGCTTGTCCGTATTCATTTGCTGAGTGGGGGCTTAGTCACGTTGTGCGCAGCTGGCAGCTATGCAGTGGCTCGTCCGGGATGCCCAGCCCAACGATTCCTTGTTCTTCCACTGTGCGTAGGGCCTTGTAGACTGGGAGTGAATTCGTGACTGACGTGCCTTACTCCTGCACAGACTCTGGACATGGCGGACAAACCAAGGACTTGGATGGGGACGAGGCGGATGGTTATGACGAAGGTACGTGATCTGTCTCGCGTTCATGCACGCAGAGGGTGAATATGAGCGCAATTGTATGCGTAGTCATTTACCCCGTCGACTTCGACACCAACGGCCATATTGTCGACGATGTATGCACGCTGTTTCCGTGAGATGCGCTTATTTCATAATGCTTGCTTCTAGATCATGCACGAGATTATGGTCAGGCCTCTCCCTCCTGGGTGCAGGCTGACAGCTATCTTCGACGTAAGATTCAGCGTTCACTATCACTCTTCATAAGGTATTTAGAATCTCCTCTCTGCAGTCCTGCCATTCAGGTTCTGCTCTCGGTAAGTCACTTCACCCCTCCTCATCACCGAAACATTCATTCCTGCGTCTCCCCTATCCCAGACCTTCCCTACATTGTACGTATCCTCCTATTCCCCTCGTCTCCTCCCTCTCACCTGCCACGCAACGCAGTACTCGACCGAAGGCAAAATCAAAGAGCCCAACCTGGCCGCAGAAGCCGGCCAGGGCCTCCTCTCCGCCGTCTCCTCCTACGCACGCGGCGACATGGGCGGCGTATTCTCGTCCGCGATGGGCATCTTCAAAACCGCGACCGGTAACACCAAGAAGGCGGAGCAGTATGCGCGGGCGACGAGGACGAGCCCCGCAGACGTTGTGAGTGCCTGCAATGACGCTGCCTAAAGGGTACCTTGCTGATAAGGGGTAGATTTCGTGGAGCGGGTGTAAGGACTCGCAGACGAGTGCGGATACATTTGAGGCTGGGCAGTCGACCGGCGCTATGAGCTTTGTGCGTACTACCGTGTGCTTCCATCCTTTTAGGTTTCCGTCGACTTATCATTTCGTTAACCGCAGGCCTTTATATCGGCACTCAGTATGTCTGTTTGCTTACCACTGCGCCGTCCTCGCAGCTAACGGTATACTGTGACGCAGCTCAAAACCCGCAGCAAAGCTACCAGATGTTGCTCCAGAGTATACGGTTTGCATTATTTTCTTCTGTATTGGCGTCATCATCTGAGTTGGGCATAGGCAAATCCTTCGGGACAAGTACAGTCAGAAGCCTCAGGTGCGCAGTTTAGCTTATGGATTCCATTCACTGCTTGGACACTGAGCTCCATATACAATAGCTATCGAGCTCTCACCCGATCGTGAGAAGCTTTATTTCCTTTGTATATGCTCTGTAACTGATAATCATATGTTTTAGGATACGAACATTATGTTCATCATGTAATTGGATTCAAAGGCTCTGGGAAGGGCCATTGGGAAGGTTGTATACGCGTTGTTGTAAGACTATCATGTCATGTCATGTCCTGTTCCGTTTGCACTTGTACGTCGTTGCTTTTAGGTATTTATCGACCACTGTTTGGTGGGTTGTGCCCATCACACAAGTTCTGTACGTCATCTAGATGATGTAGGGTATGAACCTATATGGAACGTTGCTCGCCCAGCTATCCCACTGTTCCCCGAACGCCTGCCTCAACTTACGATCCTCCATGATGCTCCTGCGCGTCACGAAGACACCGGTCAGAGCAAGCAAGCTTGCGGCTACGCCCACCACTGCTTTCCCGCCCGTACCATCAAGCCAGCCACATTCGCGCAGCCATGATCCCTCGCCGAGGAAACACACCACGGTTCCCACGGCTGCCATTACGCCTCCAGTGTACGCCGGGTGGCGAACGTATGCGTACGGGCCGCTTGTGACGAGCTTATGCTCCTCGCGAATGCTCAAGTGAAAGGTGAAGAGGCCCCCCAGAGTCCGGAAACAGCTGAGGCGCAGGTACGACCCAGCCACCGTCAACAGACATCCTGCTAGGAACGTAGGCGTGACTTGGATCGCCGATATAGCCCACGATGGTCGCGGCACTAGAGTCCTGAGGATGAGGTCCTTCACGGGACTAGGCGGCAGGTGGCTGGACGCGACAACCGCTGTCTCGCCTATCAAGCTTGTCCATGCGTAGACCTACCAGGATTGAAGCTTGAGCTGAGGTGTGGCAAGAGGATGTGAAGGTACATACCTTCCACGATACAGGTACGAAAAGCCACGCTGGGGCTTCGGCATTCGCGTACTTTGTGACTTCTTCATTGGATACCGATTTGTTAGGATTGCTGAAAGAGGTATGGAGTGCCACAACCGAAGTGAGGGCAAGCGGCACACGTAGCAGCGACATTCCAACGGTGCAAATGTAGGGGGAACTATCGAGCCATCAAAGTATTTCGGGCCAGCAGCTGATGTATATATACTGCGTTTCTCATGATTAACGCCCGGGGCACTCGGGGGAAGGATCAGGACATCGTGGACATCGCTTGCTCGTGTACGTTACGTTACGTCCATATACATTCGGTTCCCCCGTAAGTCCGGCGCACATGATGCACGAGTCACTGCGGCAAGAAGATTATTGCTAGTAAGCGTAAAGGTAGGATATGAAAGCTCCAGGTGAGAGTATATACGTCCATATATGCAGCTAATTATACCCTCGAATGCCTACGTCTGTGTTTCCAGGTTTGAAAGGCTATCTTTGTAGGAGATGTGGCTTTGAATATGTCATGATTGATTATTGGTGAGTTCACGAGAGGTTGAGCGCCAGAGATGAGAACCGACTTATAACTGAACCATAAGTCGATTTCAGGGTCATAAATGTACGGAACCAACCTGTACCGAGCTTGCCCGTGCGTCCTACCGTTTACCAAACTCTTGCCTCAATCTGCAATCCTCCACGGTACTTCTGCGTACCGTCATGTTAGCCGGAATCATAATCAGGAATGCCGCTAACCCCGATGACTGCTTCACCGATCCTGCCTTCGAGCCAGCCTGGCTCAAGTCTAACTGGGGTGACACATACGGACCCACTGCAAGGAGCTTGCGTTGATGCTTAACTCGAAAGTGAAGAGGGCGTCCCGTAGTCTCGAGGCGGTGGAAGTGGAGATATACTCCTGCCATCGCGAACAACCGTCCTGCTGTAGGCTGAATCCCATTGCGGATGCAGAAGATACAGGTGCGCATATCAAGAATGTGCGGCAGTGAGGCCTGTGCGCAGTCCTTGAGGCCAGATGTCTGGCTAATGAGCCAGGACCTGCAGGCCGGAGCCAATCCTTGAAAATGTCGCTATGTCCCCGACTGACGATATCACTGGCATCCGCTGACTGAAGGAACCTCGGATTTACACTGCCCGAATCGGAGTGAACTCAGCCCGACTTTTGAGCATTGGTAGCCAAACTCGAGCTCGTTCGTGACCTTCCTTGATGCCCCCAGCCTCTCATCTGTCTCACTGGCTTCCAGAGAACCATGCATATATCGGAAGGCATCGGCCAGCAATCGTCTTGATCCTGGAGAAGAATTAGCACCAAAGGTCTTAGTCATCATGGATCGAGGACAGTCTTTGCGAAACCTGCAGGAGAGATACTCCGTGCACCAAGCGCAGTGATACTTAGTGCAGTCTGCGAAGTCAATTGTTACCAGAATGCACGGTTGGTCGAACCTATTCCCAAGCAAGTATCTATCAAGAACAGGTCTAGTAGAATCCTGTCATGCATCGAGCGCATGAGCCACATGAACATCATAAAGCGAGTCCCGGCGACTCACCATCATATCTCATCGCCGCCCACTCGCACAATATTGCCGCCCATTTCCCTGCGCCTCTCCACTTCCGTATAGTACATCTCGCGATCATCATCGGCACTCACAGCGTCATCTTTCTCCTCGCCGACCCATTTCCAGGCATTTTCACGCACGAATGTCTCGTATTCCCAAATATCCTTATTCAGCTGTTTCAGTGATGCGGCCCAAATGTATGTTTGGGCTTCGACTGGAGACGATAGGGAAGATATAGGGGGGAGCGAAGGTGCTGATGGGGGTGCTATAGTTTTCGAGTCCGCCGAGGACGGGTCATCTGAGACCGAGTTGAGCGGCATGAACGAACTCAGGGGATAGACCGGGACGGTCTTCCTTTCGTATTCCTTACGCAGGGCATGGGTATATTGTCCAACACCTCAGGAGGAATGATCACTTACATCCCCTTCGAACGTATCCAAGAAATCCATGTCGCGCTTATTGAGACCCGTCACCAGCGTCCCCCTGACTGATCTCTCTTCGGGCTCGAGCTCCTTGTCGAAGAAGACGCGGCTCTTCTCATAAGGTACCACCGCCGGATAATCGGCATGCTGAGGACGAACATAGGCAAAGTCAATCAAACAGGTCTGAATTAAAGTCTACCTTGACATGATGTCTGGTGTGATCCTACAAAGAGCAGAACGTGCACGCAGTTCAGACGATCTCTAAGTACATATCCTGCAATTAACTGCTGACCAGCAACACAGCAGGGCATATCTGCAGATGTGATCCGTCGTTTCCGATTACGCGCTTCAAGATCTTCGGATGAAGGAGGGTGCCATAGAAGAAAGCTGCGTACGTCTTCCTCGGCCTGAGGTTCGGAGCCATTCGAGAGAGCAAATGTAGCGGGGATTGCAAGAGAGGAGTGTGAGGCTACATATAGGCTAAGGATATGAAGCTAAGAACCGGATATGGGGGCGGAGAGCCTTCGGAATTCGGATAACGAATCCGGCTCAGACACTCAGACTATTCTTCCCACTGTGTATATGAATGACCAGAACTGCTACTGGACAATTGAAAGGAACGTGATCCATAAGCTACCAGTAAGATACTTCACACGTCTACATCGTGCAAGCTCGCAGGCTTGTGAAACTCGGCGCGAATATCCAAGGCACTGGATGACTGGGGGAAGTCGTGTTTCGTAGTCGTCTCCACTGATATCGCAATACCCATATTTTCCTGCATTGCAGGTGTCACCTATCGAGCAGGGTATTTTCTATAACGATGTTATGGCTCACCCCATTGTCTGTCCTCCTGGGCCTTCCCGATCGACCTGAAGAATCCGACGGATTTGTCACGTCCAGCTCGACAAATGTCGGTCTTTGATGGCCTTTTTCGCGCACATGCTGTCTGCTGTTAAGCCTGTGTATGCCGTGAGTGACCTGGTCAAATGGCGGACGATGCGGACCATCCGAGGACATACATTCCGAGAAGAGAGTTCACATAACCTGTGCATGATGTCAGATGTAGTTACGACACGGAACGGAGGGATCCTCACATTTCCCTAAGACCCAGAAGAAGCTAAGCCAGATGAAACTTGTGGGTGATATCGCGAACTAGCGGTCATGAGGAAGTGTCAACGAGAGACATATGCGCCTAGGACTTACTGATATCACACAAGCCGTGGCGACGATGCTGCTCGGACGCGTCAGCATTCAAGGCCAGGATGATAAATATCAAGGACACTGACCTCGTGAGAAGGCCAGTGTTGATGCTGTAGAGCATGAGCGTCGTGATAACATCATTCGTCCTGGGCAATCCAGTCAGCACAAGGGGACATACGGAGTATGCGGCCTGCTCACTTTCGAAACTCCGTCCGTCGCTGAGCGAGGTAATAGCACATCGCCGCGGCGATCAGGATGTCCGCGACCGCGGCTGCACTGAAGCCGAGGCACGTAATCCACTACATCATCTGAGCCAGGGCAAGTAGATCTCTGCATGGTTTACTCACCGTCAAAACCCTGTATTTCGAAATGTGTCCCAGTTGGAACCTGTGTGCCGCTATCGTATTAATTACTAGATTACCGAGACAGGTTTCCACGTACGCTTCCACTGTAAAAACTGTCGACGGACGGTGAGAAGGTGCAATGATAATGATGCTGGAGCACAACTTACCGATTCCCAGGACTATGTACGGAATATAAGACATAAATGTTATATGAAGCATCGTATGGATATCCTATCCTTACCAAAATGAAGGGCTGAAAGTATACACTGGTTCATCCCTCAAATAAGTCAAGAGCAGAGAGCTATCACGGATCACGACTCACAATTGTGGATACAAGAAGCCAGTTGAAGCTCACTGGGTATCGATGTAAACATCAAAGGACAGTCAACCTGTAGTAACCACTCACGTAGCCAAACCCGGCGCGCGAAAAAACTGAAGATAGAGATCGGATTAAGCGGGGCTTATACCGGATTTTTTGACTCACAATTGGACGATTAACCCCACAAGCCCCTGTGACGGAGGTTAAGCTAGGATTGGGGCAGGGGGGTCCGAAATACGTACATTGAAATCAGTTTGCAGCTTCCAGGCCGGCGTTGTGTCAGAGTTCCACCAATACCTCTGTAGGTAATTGACTCACGTTCATGCTCCTAGAGATGAGTGAGAATCAGCGGCCAAAGCATGGCAAGAGAAAATCTCACCAAGTGGACGAGTCCAGCGTTTCAGGTTTCCCATAGTTGGCCACAAGAAACCTGCGCGAAATGCTTGAGACTGTGTTTATAGCCTCGGGATGGAGAAAGACCGTACCAATAGATAGTGATTGTACAAAATATTAGGTGCATCGTATCGAGAAACCTAGCTTGACTTAGGAGGGGTAGCCCCTTCATATTTGGTAGTGCAACGTACCAGAGGAAGGCGACCTGAAAACCCCGTCGTGTTAGATGAGAGATCAGGTCTCGATGAAGCAAGACGTACAATAATCTTCTGAATGAGGGGGTCTTGAGGGTACTGCCTAGGGCCCGTTCAGTCACGCGGCAACCGATACTACCCACAGGCGAACAGACCTGTAATAAATATATCTAAAACAATGTAAGACGCAGCCATCCCACTCTGCAAGAAAGTGACGCACGTTTGCAGGAGGGTAACGCCATAAAAACTGTTACGCAGAGGTTAATTCGGAGCAAATCCTTCAGGAAAGCGCGACCAAGCTCACATTGCACTGATCACGAGCGAGATGAGCAGTATCCCAAACGTTGAGGCCACGGGGTGGCCTTCAAGAGTGGGCACAGTGGGGAGCTCCATGGCACATCTGAAAAGCACAGGTTCAAGCTACGACTCAGTCGGGCAGGGGAGCACATGAGTTATGGAGAGTTGTGCCCGATCCCTACGATCGAACTAGATCTGTGGACGAGATTTGCGAAGCCGACGCAACGCCGAAGTGTCTCATGGCGACCAGAATTTTCTTCCGGCCAAGCCGGCTGGAAAGAGGGGTATTTCAGCGGTGCCACTGGGTGGCAGCTGAATCTGCAAGCTAAATTTGCGGCATCCTCAAAATAGGGAATAGAAATTTTACGGAGACGATTGCTCAACGCCGTGAACGACGGGTTCCAACTGACTGAAAGCTGTTGGAACGTTGACGACGATGTGGCACATTGTGGCATCGCAACGACGACGTCGACGAGAAGTTTGGAAGCTCCTTTCCGCTCCAGATCCAGAAGCCGAGACACACAAGATCTATCAGATCTTGTCGAAATTAAGGATTTGCCTCTCGTGCTCACCCCTGGCCTGGCTGGCCAAGTGCTCTTATGTACATAGACTTTGCTTAGACTTTCCACGGAGACGAACAGGAAAACAGGAGTGCTGAAATTTTCGAGGAGACAAAATGGAAGAACACCAATCAGCCTCGCAACGATTTCGCACCTGTCTCGAAAATTCTGTGATGTATAGATACATTGGTACGTGCACACGCATAGCATACAGAAAGCGTATCTTAGAGCCTGCCCGGAATACACCTCGACATACTGTAGCTGATATAGTATTGGATCACAATGCATCAATTAGTCAGATACGATGATGTTCAGCGTGGAGCAGTAAAATAACCCAAGCGATTGCTGGGGCGCTCTCCGTCGCCCTCAGACGGAGTACACCTGCACCGCTTACCATCCGTAACGCGGTAGGAGATGGAGCAGCCTCCGCAGCGTTTGAAACCATGCGCTTCGATGGCTTGGTCGGCGGTCACGTCCTCAATCCAATTATAAGGCCGATCCATGGATATCAGGCTGGAAGGATAGTCGCCCACTGGTACCGGGTCTAGAGGGGCGGACAAAGGGCCGGGAGGTGACGGTGACCTCATGGTGCCTTGAGCTTCAATCCAGGAGAACATGTCTGTCGGCTGGGGGTAAGGTGGTGGTGCCGTGGGCGCGTGCATCAGCAGCCCAGGGCGCCGCGTCTCCTCGTCGGCGCTGGGGGTGCCGCTGGATGTAGCTGGAGATATCTCTCCGTCGCTCCACGACCCTAACATATCCGGGCCACGATACACGCCCATGTGCGAGTATGGCATGGAAGTCGTATGAGGTGGCTTTTGAACATCGGCGATAGCAGGGTCGGGGCGCGAGTTCTTCTGGACGTTGTGAGGCGCCGTCAGGGCCTCGGTGTAGAAGACGGGCGGGCGCGGCGTCTCAGACTCATAGTCTAGAGGCGCGATCCTCCGTGGGCCGTATAGAACGCCGCTGTAGTTCGGCTTGCCCGACGGGGCTCCGAATGCAGAAAGATACTCCTCTTTCTGGCCTCCGTCCGGGTGTTCATCCACCATGTCAGATGTTCCTGGTACCTCAACTCCGTCGAAGTGGGAGGATACAGGGGTTTGGTCATGCATGGTAGGTGCCGTGACGCGAGACAGTGGGGACAGCCTGCGCTCAAGGTTGGGAAACATGGGCGATACAGCTCGAGCAAAGGGCGTCACTTACGTCCTAACAGAGCACGCTCAAGCTAGACGGCGTGAAGACAAGAGGTGAACTTCGCAGACCATCAACCAACTCGCAACAGCGAGCCAACGGGCGCACTTACCTTGCACTAGCGACCCAGTTGGGTGTAGGTGGTGGCCGTAAGGCTGCAAGCGTTTCTCGTCGCTGGCATACCAAGCCCGCTGAACGCCGCCTTAGAATTTGCTTCTACAGGTTTCTACCCGGTGTCGGCCGGCGTCGCGCACGCATGAGGTAGCGCGGCGGAGGCGTGGCCGGAAAGGGGCGTCAGCGCCATTCATTACGCTTTCCTGGACTGCGACGGCACTGACGCTACTGTTCTATGAACGCGGTGTCGACGACGCTGTTACAGACAAAGAAACGACGCGGTACTCCATAGGAGATTGTCCGTGGCGGGTTTCTCACACATTTGATGGCGTCGGCGGCGGGATCCTCGAGTCTATGACGACGGTCCTCCACTTTCATGCTGCCCAACCTCGAGGTCGATTTGAATCCCCTGGTCGCGTACTTTATATAAGAGCAACAGCATAAGTTAAGAGGGAAGCAGGATGCGAATGTGCAACGTTCGAATTTTTACAGATGCTGATGTTCTTGCGAGCGCTCTGGTCGAAGGCACCAAGGGAGAGGATGATTGCATGACGATCGTGATAGAAGTAAACCTAACTGAATATTAGTAGTCCGAGAGCCCGTCCATGATCGATCCGAAGTATGCATGAAAGAAACCATACGCAGCGACCCACACAGTTCGCTCTACATGATGACACACCCACGGCCACAACACTTCGATCCATGACGATCCTCGTCCTCCACTTCGTCCTTCTTCCCCGGTGTGTCTTCCTCTCGCTTCTCATTACCTTTACCCATACCGTCCGCTGCGGCCTTCTTCCTCGTCTCCCTAACGAGCTCTTCGAATACGTTATCCACGTTGCGCAGGTTGGCCTTGACGCTCGTCTCGTAGAACGCGCAGCCCCACTTCTTCGCCAGCTCCTCCGCCTCGTCGGTATTCACTTCCCGAGCCTCCGGGTCTGATTCGTCCATGTCGGACATGTTGCCGACGAGGATGAAAGGGGGACCATGCTGGGACTTGGTATGCTGCTCGTGAATATGCGAGTGGAAAGAGGTGAGGCGGTCGAAGGAGCCGCGGAAGGTTATAGAGTATAGCAGGATAAAAGCGTCCGCTTCTCTGCAGCGAACAAAGACTTAATGAGTACACGAATGTAGAACTGCTAGACGCGGGGGGGGGGGGGCTTACTGTATCCCTTGGCCAGGACGGAAGACGAGCGGTTCGGATGGGTCTATACAAGACAATCAGCAGGCGATGTTTGCCATAATATTGCTACCTACCGGTGTCAACCGGGTCGAAGATCTCGATAGTGCTAGTCCGCCCATCTACTGTGATCTCTTTGGCAATGGCTAGACCCTCTGGAGACTGCCAGAGGATCAATAAGTCAGTATCCGCAACGATACATTGAAAAAGTGGGCGCACTCCAGAGTCAGCTATAAGGTTCATTGGCGTTTGAATCACCCTGTCAGTACGACCATTCCCAGCCATGGAAACCTATATTGCATACCAGCACGCCCGAGAAACTAGTGCCAGCGAATTGTCAATAAACTCTAGCTCTCTTCTTCTAACCTGTACAGAGCGCAGATGTGTACTTACGCCCTCCGCTAAAGCTGTCTTCCCGACGCCCATGTCTCCGAGGATGCATATCTTCCAATGCTCCCTGGAATTGGGCTTCTCTGCCACTTTCTCTGGAATATCAATGCTTGCACTCATGTCGCGCTGGGTAGAGGATAGTCCACGACAAAGTACGTGTAGAGCGGTGGAGCCTCGAGGAATGCTGGCGTGTTCATGCTCTTGATGCAACACTAACAGCCTCCATGTTTTAATTTTAGATAAATGGAATCGCTCTGCATATTACAGCGGTCCAGAAGTCCGCGGTTGCCATTTGTTGGCGCCCGTAGTAGGGCGCAGTTAGTGCTTGCCTTCGGGTCGTCGCTGTCATCGCCGAAGAGCAGACGCAGTACCCGCACTCGATGCAGGAGGGAGGAATCAAGCTAGGAAACTCCGACTTCATCCCGAATCTGTTCACGCCACCGACAGAAGTGCGGGGTAACATCAAAAGGCGCCTAGTACCGTATAGTGCCGAAAGTATGTAACAAGCTGTAGACCTCAATTTGGCGGACTACACCTTGAGGTCAGTATGGCCGCCCAGAACAGCGACGTCGAGGTCGTTGACATTGAGCTCCATTCCATCCAACCTCGGAACGTGCATGGCGATTGTGATACTAACGCAGCGAATCCTGAGTTGTCGCAGAAACTATATGAACAAGGGGAATTATCACTAGGGCAAGCAACGAACGAGATAGTGGAAGGTAAGTCTCGAATGGTTATGCAGAAGCCCTGTACACCTTATGATTAGAGTCACAGTGAGTCGGAGCCAGGAGGCAACTCCTACAGCAGAACCCACTCGAGTCGTAGAGTCACTCAAGTCCGTCGTTGCATCATTACATTTTGAACAGCCAGGGCACTGACTGATATTTAAGGGAGCCTGTGAACCGATGGCGCCTTCTGTCCTCTTGCCTTCTCCAGATTATCAATGGCATGCAAGACTCGGCTTTGGGAGCTCTCATCCCATTCATCGAGTCCTTCTACGGAATCGGCTACGCCATTGTTTCCCTTCTCTTCTTAACCTCAGCTGTCGGCTTCCTCCTAGCCGCCTTCACGTCGGATGCCATATTCCAGTCCGTGGGTAGAGCTAGGACGCTCATGCTCGCGACTGCGGTAACGTCTGTCGGGTACATTATCTGGTTGGTTGCGCCCGAAAGGACGCCGTACGGTTTCCTCGTCGTTGCGCCATTCTTTACTGGTGCAGGCGCTTCCTGGAACCTCGCACAGATCAACGTCTTCGTGAGCTCGCTGGATAAGCCGACGTTATACAACGGGTCAATGGCGATCCCTAATATCTGAAGTTATACCACCGCGTTACTGACAAACACTCGAGCACAGATGGCTGCACGGCTCCTATGGAATTGGAGGTATTGCAGGCCCTCTGGTGGCCACTTCACTGGCCTCACAGGGCATACCTTGGCAGTACTTCTACTTCCTGCCGCTGGGAATAACAGTGTTCAATTGCTTCTTCTCTGGCTACATCTTTCTACCTACCGAGCGGGAGAAACAAACGCTCCTGGAGCAAGAGCGTCGACAGCAGCTCTGGCGGCAGCGCGCACAGTCCGAACAGGAAACCTCCTCACAGTCCTCCGACCAACCGCTCACCCGCACGCAGGTGCTCATCGAGACCCTCCGAAACAAACCCACTATCCTCACCTCTCTCTTCATTCTCTCGTACCAAGGCGCGGAAGTGTCTTTGGGAGGATGGATTGTCTCGTTTCTCATTAGTGCGCGGGGCGGGGACCCTTCGAATGTGGGTTACGTAGCGTCAGGCTTCTGGGGCGGCGTCACGCTCGGACGGTTCCTGCTCAGCGGGCTCTGCGGCAAGTTTGGTGAGAGGAGGGCTGTGGTAGTTCTGCTCGCCGGGTGCGCCGGCATGGAGATACTTGTATGGCTGGTGCCGAACGTGATTGGAAGCGCCGTCAGTGTCGCACTCGTAGGATTTTTGCTAGGTGTAGGTTTTCCGATGATCCCTTTATCATGTGCGAGCTGATACTCAGACAGCCTGTTGTACCCTGCACCATGGGGATCATCACTCGCATGCTTTCGAGGAAGCTGCACGTTTCATCGCTGTCTTTCATCATGGCGTTCGGATCCTCTGGTGGAGCTCTGTGGCCGTTCTCGGTAGGGCTCATATCTCAGTTCAAAGGTGCATACCTGCTTGCCTCGCATTTTTTTTGGTATCTGGACTAATGACGCTTGCCGCAGGTCCCTTCGTCGTACATCCGGTGGCCATCGGAAGCTTTGTCCTCATGGAGGTCCTTTGGTTACTGTTGCCAAAGGTCCCCAAGAGAGTCATATGACCTTGCAGCCATGATACTCTAGCCAGGGCTTACAAGTGTGGTGTGGTCGCGCATTAAGTGCAACTGTAGTGCCTGAAGTCTTTCCTTGGCCTTGAATATGTCTATGTCGTGCTGCGCATGGCCTGTGGTCCAGATCTTCGCGCTGTCGTGGTTTGTATACCTGGGAAATCCCAGTGTCTCTGAGTTCAAATTTCTCGGAAGCGCCCCAGTGCGTCTGAGTTGCCCATACCTTCGCAGGCACGTCTGCCGTAGTTGCACCAGTTATGACCCATTAATTCATATTCACAAATAACACTAACCGCACACAATTTAACCACGGCGAATATAGTCCAATATAGTCCGAAAAGAGCTGAGTAAAGTCCGATGCCTCTGTCATCAACCTAACCGTACTCATGCGCATCAGCAGTCCAACTATCCGCTGCGAGAGCACGCCTACCGTCAAACTACATTGCGAGATGTTAGCATTGTGAGAGTGTTCGTGTAAGCGGGACTGCACTGACCCGTTTACAGCACAGACATGCCGAGAACAAGTGCTAAGACGGGCATCAAGGCCGTGGTCGCTGCGTTCGCCCTATCGGAAAGCGCACCAGAGTTGACGTCGCCTGTCCTCGGAGTGCCGTTCGGTGGACCGCCGGAGGCAGTTACAGTAACAACTGTCGTAGCCGCAGGGGCACATACTCCCGAAGCACCGACAGCACTGGTATACACAGCAGTAGTAACGACGCTGGCAGTGGTGCTGTTGGGATACGCGGCGATGGAGGACGGTCCAACAGCGGTGGTGTTCACGACTGCGGAGGACGCGACGGCGACGCTCGTCTCGTTAGCCCACCTGGGCACCAGGGAGGAGCCAACAGTGGTAGAGCCCGGTTGGATGCTACTAATAACTGGCGTCGTCGTAGGACCTGGCTGGATGCTACTGATAATCTCCGTCGTCGTAGGACCTGGTTCGAAACTACTGCTAACCAGCGTCCCACTGACCACGCTGCTGCTGACCAGCGTCCCACAAACCACGCTGCTGCTGACCAGCGTTCCACTGACCACGCTGCTTGGATATACGGTCACGTAGGAAGTGACAAGGGTGGGGCATGGTACGGCAGCCGAAGACACATAGGGACCTGATGAAGAGTACGTCGTACCGCCCCCAGCGACGACGGATGTGTACGCGGAGGACGTCCCCCCTGCGAACGAAGAATCTACTGAAGTGGAATAGGTCCATGCGACCGGAGCTGATGAGGAGTACGTCGTATCACCCCCAGCGACGACGGATGTATACGCTGAGGACGTTCCCCCTGCGAACGAAGAATCTGCCGGGGCAGCAAAGCTCGGCGAGGCGAAGAGGATGGGCAAGAGCGCAAACGCAGAGGCGGACAACATCTTGTTGGCTGTATCGTTAGGAGTTGACTAATTTCTGAGGCTTTGCTGGCACCAGCAAGCCAGCCTTATATGCAGGGGGCGCTTCACCGAGATCCATGAATTTCGCCTAATCGGACTGACTCGGAGATCTTCGAAGGGGACAACAGGCCGCACTGGCGTAGAGTTTACTTCCATGCCCGTAATCTGGCCGTAATCTGTGCAAGGAGATATCCGCGCGGTCCACAGCCTTCGATCGATTGCGGGTTCTGTCGTTCAGTGGTTGGTGGCCATGCATGGCCGAAGTGGGAGAGTAAAGCACGATGTCACCTACAGGGATGCCGGCCGGTATTCAAAGTCTGTCACCACCCTGGACTTCGGTATAGATGGACCGCACTTCACTTTATGCCAGAAGCAGACCAACAGCTGTGCAGATGCACTGCCGCACACCGAGCGGGCCCGTATCGTGCCTGTGGCATGCATCAGCTGAAAGGAGCTGCAAATGAGCGACCAGAAGAGCTTACAACGATACTGAGAGATCTTCTGGCTTGGCGGGGCAGCATGCCTAACCAGCCTTGTCTTCTGTCCGTCCCTAACTTTAATCAGCGGACGGGTCAACTGCATGCCCCCTCCGGCGGTCCTTCTTCCCGTGGACTTTGACAGCGAAAAACCTGGTGCTCTCGAGATCCGGGCTGGTGACCCCCATGGTTTCCCTCGGCAGATTTCCTAGATGCTCTCGCGCTTTCATGCGCAGGCCACGGCAGCTGCCATGGCAAAGCCCGCCAGACTGGGAGCAGACGGAGTAGACTGCGCGGGTGTCACTAGAGTCCGGTGAAAATGGGAGCAATAATAAGCCCTGTTAGTTGGGTATGCCCAGCTCGCTGGTAACTAACGGACCAGCCACATCTGCCCCCTAAATTACCTGATGTTATCGAATGAATTGAAGAGTTACTCCCTTGGGGTATTCCTTTCTTTTTGCAAGAGTCATTGGTTCTCAATGTCAGAGTAGTCAGGCGAAGAGGTGTTGCTCACCTCCCAGCACCGAGGTATCTGCGAGAGGGAAAGGGAACCATCCCGTAAGAATACACAACAAACAATCAGCTAGCAACACATTTGTTGCACTCTCTCAAAACGGGTTAATTGACTGAGGAAACAGAATCAGCACCGGGCACTCCGGCAAAATAATCAACCGCTTACGCTTCCGTCACGTCCACAGCCTTTTTCACCCATCGAACACTAACTGCGCAGAGAGCCGTGTGTGAACGCGAAAAAAGCCTGTACCGTGATGGATGAAATGGACGTTTGCTCAGCGACAACGCGGACCAAACTCTCTCCATCCGAGTCCACTGCGCCCCGCCGCCCTCTCGGTAGCTCAACGACAGCCGCGCTATCCAACGACCTCTTCATTCGCTGTGCACCCGTTGTACTGACCCGCTGGCTTTCCGACGACTGATGCGCCCGTGCCCCACGTGTCCGCGATCCGCGCCGACACCGTGGCCGCCCACCCCACAGCGCGGCAAGGCTGCATACACGCCCGCCCGCCCGCACGCCAGTGCAGGCGTCGGGACAGATGCCCGCGGGGACGCCGGGCCCAAACGCGCACGCGAGTACGAGGGGGACGCGGCGCCACGATCTGCAGGGCTGACGCCTTGGACCTTCCTCTCAAGAGACAGCCGTGTGCGCCCGGGTCAGGATCCGGGCGTCCGTCTCCGGTCTCTACGCCGAGCTCGGGGCCCCTGCGTCGAGCCATTCGCTGCGGGTACAAGAGACCCGCGCCGACGCACCAAACCTGCAGCGACAGCCAGTCAGTTGGAGGTAAGTAGCACGTAGCCGAGGGCCATCGAACGGGACGCGCCGGTCTGGATCCTCTCCGCCCGACAAACCCGGTGGACCTGCGCTCGCGCGTCGGGCCGCGGGCGTCTGCCCGCAGAAACCGAGCACGCACGCTTCCAACACACCGAACACTCGACATGAGGAAAGAAGCAAATACCATACCAGAGCACCTTCCCTCGCTCTCTCGCTCTCTCCTGACCCGGGCGTCCGGGACGAGCGCGGCGCGCCTGCCTGTATCGCTCGCCGTCTAGGGGTCAGCAAGACAAGGGCAGACGCGTGTCCGCGTGCACCGCCTCCCTCTCGGGCGAGTGAATTTCGTCCCTAGATCCATATCACAATCGAGGTGGCGAAGAGGGTTGTGTAGGCGCCTGGGAGGGAAGGGGTTAGCGGGGACAGGGCAGGAGAAGGGGCAGTACCGACCGTAGAGGAGGGTGGTGATCTGGCGGGGACTCAGCTGGCTCGGCGGAGGCTTCGGGAGACAGACGCACGAGGAGCGAGAACGTCAGTCGCTGGCCTGCGAAAGATTACGGATTATGTTACGAGTGCTGTACGGGTGGTGAGGCGTATCAGGCTGTGATAGGCGCCTGGCCAATGGGCGTCGTGCTCGATCCCAACAGGTCCGACATTGGTAGAGTTCTAGCTGTTTTATTTTCAAACTGTCGTGCACGACTGCCAGCGACGACGGCACTGCTTGCACAGCCCCAGTCCCCCTTCCGTCGCGATCGCCCGGCATTCTCCACGTGCCATGACATCACCCCCGATCGCCAGTCCTGTTCCCAGCCACACTCTGATCGCGTGTCTGCCCGCCGCGGTCTTATAAGCCTCGCCTCCGATGCCTGCCCCACTCTAACCACCTTTTCCTTTTCTACATGAGCATCCGCTCTGCTATCCCCGGTACCCCAGCCAGCGAACGCTCCATCTACTTTGACGCGCCCATGATGCACATCACCACCGGCGACTCGCCAGCACCAGGGCGAGCGGGCTCGGTGCGCAGCCGCGCGCCCTCCGTGTCCATCCCCAAGAGCCCTGTCACGAACACCCAACCTGCGCCGAGAGCAGTGTACGGCGACGACTCCGACCAAGAGGAGCACGGCGTCGGGTCGTCCGACGAGGAAGAGGACCGCGAGCTGCGCCCGGGGCCTGATCCCTTCGACGACGACCGCGGATCCCGGCTGCGCGCCCGCACGAAACGCACGAGCATCTCCGGCTTCAGCTATACCAGCGGCAGATCCAAGCCCTCCGCGTTCTCGCGCCGCCGCGCAAAGTCGGTCCCGCGCGCGTCCTCGCCCGCAGACGACAGCTCGGCGTGCGGGGCGCACTCCGCCGAGAGCGCCCCCGCCAGCGGTGTGAAGGCAAAGAGCACCCTGAAGAAGCGCGCGAGCATCCGCAGCGGCGTGTTCAGCGCGGGGCCGGGGACCATCGGCCCCGCGATATCGCCCGAGCCGGACTTGTCGATGCACGCGCGCGAGCGCACCGCGGAGAGCGTGCTCACGCCCAAGCAAAAGTCCAAGATCACAAAAGAAGAATGTACGTGGGCCGCTGCGCATTGCGGGCGGGACGTGGCTCACTTTGTCGTCGCGATGGCGTGCTAGTGAAAGAGGGCAAGCGCCTGTCGAAGATTATCCAGACGGAGCAGAAGGCGGAGCGCGCCGCGCTTGATATCGCGATGAAAGAGCTCGCCGAGCTCACCAAGCTGCAAAAGGCAGCCATGAAGGTCCGTCTCCCCCCTCCCCCCTCCCCCCTTCCCCTCCCCTCCAACCCCATCCTGACACCCCCACGCAGGACGAATCCCGCGCACACACCGCGCACGCAACAACCCTCAAGTCCTTCCACAAGACCGAGCTCGCATTCCTCGCCGCCCGCGCCAAGTACGAGTCCGCGCTGACGGACCTGCGCAACACGGAGGAGGGGCTCGAGAAGACGCGCAAGCACGCGGAGATGGTCACGGATATGGTGCGCGAGAAGATGCGCGAGGTCGAGGAGCTCCGCGGGATGAAGCGCGTCGACGATCGCGAGCGGATGGTCAAGGTGTCGGAGCTGAAGGGGAAGTTGCCTGCGGAGGCGTAGAGGGCGTGCAGAATGTATAGCATGGGGCTTGGCTGCTGGAATATCTTGTAGACGACTGTAATTGTAATGTAAAAGGGCAATATTTGTTGTACTTGTAAATATACGCGTCAGCTAATTGGAGCATACCTCATTCCGCTGGTATATATGCCACGAGCGTGAGGAAAGGGCGTCCTTGCATGTTTTCTGTCTCAGGGTCGCCCGCACGCACCAGTCACCAGAAGATCAAGGTCGGGACTAGCGCTGCACGGGACGAAGAACCGCAATTCCTCAGGTAGCATTGAGTAAACTGAAAGTAAGCCTCGCTGTCAGCCTAGTTTACGCTCTATGGCGGGATGTTTTTCTGCCCGGGCAGTCAGAGATTACTTCGGGGAGAACTGCATGCGCTGGTCGCTATTCCGTTACGAGGACGCGCGAAGCACGTGCCGAACGGAATGCTTCGTTGTTTGTCCCTGTTGTGCTATAAATACACCCGAAGCCACAAACGCGCTCTGCCACAACTTACTCTTCACCTGCCTTCCGCCTCTACGCGATCAGGTCTCGGTAGCGCATATTGTCGGAGTCGCACATTCTCGCCGACGCACCTGAAACCGTCCTGGGACGCCACGCCAAAATGGACTGTGGCGTGGACGGGAAACCGCAGGAGCGGCCGAGCAAAAGACAGAAGACCGAGGACGAAGCCGCGAAAGCTTCCTCGTGGCAGCAAGCACTCGGCGCAGCCCCAATGCAAGACATCTCAAGCTCCCCCGAAGGGGAGACGCCCATCATCGGTAATGAAACGGATGCAACGCCTGCCACACCGCAAGGTAGCCACACTGACGATACCCAGCAAATCACGCTGCCCCAATGCCCTGGCCTATCCCTCCGGGACAGAGTCAAGGAAACGCACGGGATCCTCACCGGTATCATACCCCTGCGGCGAGTCGATTATTACAAGGCCTGCAGAGTTATGGCAGACGCCCTCATTTTCGATTGCTGCTGGGAGAAGTATTACCGCGCCGTAAGCAGCGCTCTCACCTTCTTCATCCTTGCGATATGCTGATGGTTCATGTTCCGCGCGTCACAGGTGAAGGCGGCAGGCGGCTGGGTGCCGGAGGCCTGGATCATCGTGGGGGATAGTCCCGGCTGGGTAGAAAGTATCGTTGAACGCTGGAAGAACGACGATGACAGGCAACGACAGGTAGGGGAGTCCATAGGCTCACCGCGCCTCGGCTCACCATGGACGAATTAATCTAGGAAGAGACCATCTACTGGGATTGGTATTATGACGAGAAGCCGCCAATCTACGAAGAGAGGAAGGCACTTACCGACAAAGCCATGACCATCTGGAGGTGGATCGGGCAAAACTACAAACGTCCCATCACCGCTGAGGAATACGGTGCCCGCTTTCCGGAGAGCATGTACAGAACGCACAGTGTCGACCAGGCTCGGGACATTGAGATACAGATCATTCGCCCTCAAGAGGACGGGGCCGCCTCTGGCGTGCGGAGACGCAGGGCGACCCGGCAGGACCCTGCTTTCTTAACGACGACTCTGCCAAGGGATGTCCCAACGCGTGCGCAACTTGAAGAGCAATTGCGGCTGCGGGAAATATGGTCAGCGAGAAGCGTTGCACCAAATGTGTCCAGGGGGGATGATGATATAAACATGTGTGCTTGATTGCCATAGATCTTGTGCTTTGTCTTCTCTTCTTGTGCTTTGTCTTCTCTTTGTACGCTGTCATCCTTTGTCCTCTAAGCGACAGAGGACTCGCAAACCAACTCCTCCGCGTGGAAGGGGAGGGGAAGTGCTCGACGTTATTTATTGTCCGCGTAGATACCCCGTATCGTCTGAATCGCGCGTTTTGCGTAAGTTAACATAGATATACATGGCACGGATGAAAGGAACAATGCACGTACCAGCCTGATCGCGTCCGATATTGGAGGAGGCAATCAGAACAGAGGAAGTATAAGGGGTATGAACTGCACGTCCATCCAATCACGAGCAGGCTATCCGTTGGTTGGACAACGAAAATGGGCGGACGCGTGCCGAAAGAGTGCCACAAGACGCACGCTTGGCTGCGGTGTTTGTCCCTGTTAGACTATAAATGAGCTCGGAGCCACACGTGTATTCATCATAACTCACCGTTACCCACTCCCACCCTCCATCGTCGACTCACCGAGACCAGATCTCAGACCGTCAGCAGTACAATATGTCTGACACATATGCACCTGTTCAAGACTCCGAGACGGCTCGGGGGCTTCATGCCCGCCCCGAAGACAAACTGAAGTGTGGCATCCTTCGCAAACCAGAGGATGGCCAAGGCAGAACAGAGGACGAGACCGTGATACCTTGTTCATCTCCCGATGCATACACCGCATCAGCGGTGAAAGACATCTCAAGCTCATCCGAGCTCAAAATATATCTCACCGATGATGCGACGGACGCAACCAGTGTCACACAAGATAGCAGTGAGGTTGGCGAAGATCACGATGTCCCATGCAACCAACCCGCCACACTGTCGCTGCGCGACAGGATAAGCGATGCGCATCGGATCTTGACAGGCGCCGTACCGTTGCGCCAAGTCAGTTACTACAGAGCTGTTCGAGCGATAGAAGACACTATCCTCTTCAATCGCCGGTGGGAGAGGTATCATCGCGCGGTAAGCTGAACTCGTACCTGGTTGATGTCCGCGAGACGCTGATAGTGTTTACGACGCATATGCAGGTGGAGGCCGCAGGCGGCTGGGTACCCGAATGGTGGATCATAGTGGGCGACAGGCCTCGCTTGGTGGAGGTTATCGTAGACCGCTGGAGGGAGGAGGGAGATTGGGAAGGACAGGTTCGTAAGCTCCTATTCTTGCAGCTTCTCGCGCTGACGACGAGGGTGCTGGTTCCAGGAGAAGACCATCCACTGGGATTGGTATTGCGGGGAGAGCCCGCCGTCGTATGAAGAGTTGTGGTCAATCGGCAAAAAAGCTGCCGCAATCTGGAACAAGATTCGCGAAACCTACAAGCCCCCAATCACAGCCACAGAATATGCTGCTCGCCTTTCGGAGACGACAAGCAGACCACTCAATGCCGAGGAGGCTCCGTCCATTGAGATCAGCATCACGGGCCCACCTGAAGACGAGCTTAACCCAGGCTTCCGGAGCGGTAGGACGATCGGTCAAGACCCCGCTTTCCTTACGACTACACTGCTGCGGGATACGACTCGTCTGCCACGTGTACAGAGCGAAGAGCGAAGGAAGAGACACGGGACATGTGGGCAGCGAGGAATGTCGCACCCGGGGAGTCAAGGGGACACGATGATGAATCTCAAAACGCGACCGCTTGAACGCCAATAGACGTCGTGACGATGATGTTTAGCTTCTTTTCCTCGTCCGCCATGACTCTTTGTTCTTTGAGCGATAAAGAAGTCGTAGAGCTAACGCCTGTCAACGGGACATCTGACTTCTATTACATGGCTATCGCTGTTGACGATGACGAGTTCGACCTCGAATGTAGATTGACTAGAACGCTATGCGGCTGCAGAATTCGGCTTACAGCTCAGAGGAGTTGGGACTGGCGGGCTTTCATCAAGAAGGATCTAGGCTCGTGACCACGCTCTCGTAGCCTGATTGAGGGCAGAATCAGGCTAGAGAAATATTCTGCCCTCAATGTTGGTACGACAGGCTGGTCACGAGCCTACGAAGGATCGGACGGGAGGAGCTCGACAGTATTTGCACTTGTTTTGCAAGGTGGCGTGTATATGTCTCGCAAGTTCGCAGCTCCCCCTTGCATGAATTCAACGGAGGGAGTTCAAACGACACCTGCTTTGCGTAAGGTGTGCATCATGCGAAGGATACATTTTGCTTGCCGGAAAAGCTCCAACATTACTGCACCCGATAAAAGGAGCATAATCCAGGCATCCTTCATTGCGAATCATTGATGCATATGCATAATCTTAACATGAAAGGCGCAAGCTCCGGGTACTCGAGCTGCATACTCTAACCGAACGTCAAAATCAACCCGACTTTTGCGCGAGAGCATGATAATGTGACGAAAGAGCACTGCCAAATACATGTCATCTTCAAGGGAGGAGACATACTACACCTGACAGCGCCAACGAGAAGAAAGGATACGGACTGAAAGGAAGTCATCAATAGTTGGCCAGAAAGAACTCGACCCTTACGCGAGAAAAAGAGAGATGCGCTGAAGCTGGGGTTTGTTCATGTTAGGCGGGAATTTCAGCCACATTCGTGCCACAGAACCCCTCCCTGTCCCTCACTACCAACCACACCGCACCATCCCCTAATGAGCTCTCGCGTACAATGTCTTACTCTGATACGCCCTTCGTCGACAGTCAAACAGTTCTAGGCCCACGTCCACGGTCAGACGATGTTCCATGTGGCACTACCAGCGGCGAAGACGACAACCGGCCATGTAAAAGGCAAAAGACGGAAGGCGAAGCCATGACGCTCACCACCTCTCACGATGAGACACGGGTCACACCCACGATGAACAGGGTCCCAAGCTCATCCAAACTTGAAACACCTTTCACCGCCGATGTCGCATATGCCCCCGACACCACACCCGATGCCCTGTACGCCGCCGCGAACCTGCCAGCCACGTATGGACATCAGCCGATCATCTCAGTACATGAGAGGATTAGCGACGCGTACAAAATTCTTACCGGACGCATATCCCTGCGCAAAGTCGACTACTACCGAGCGCGCAGGGTGCAGGAGGATGTCATGCGGCTCGATGACTGCTGGATGAGATATCAGAGCGCAGTAAGTTGCGCCGCCATGTCATTGGTAGCTCGGAAGGACTGACCGTGTTGCGGCGTGCTGTAGGTCGAAGCCGTAGGTGGTGAGGTCGCGGACTGCTGGTTCCTCGCAGGCAACAGGCCAGAGGCACTTGCGATTATCATGGAGCAATACGAGGATAGTGATGCTATGGATGGACAGGTATGAAGAATTTGCTTTATTCGCTCTCCTCCCACTCACCGAGTGACATGCATAGCATGAGTCCGTCTATTGGGACTGGTACCCAGAAGGTGATGCACCATCGCAGGAAGAGATGGACCAGTGCATCGACGAAGTGAGCCGAGTCTGGGGCAAACTCGGAAGGTACAAGCTCGCAATCACAACGGCGGAATATGCTGCTCGTTTTCCGCAAGACGAGACAGCGCCGATCGGCATCAGTCAGCCTCGCGACATCCAAATCAAAGTGACACTGCCGCCAGATGAAGAATCTACTACCGATACTCAAAAGCGGAGGACTCACCGTCAGGACCTCTCGTATCTGACAACGACGGACCGGGATATCCATCCCACCGCGATCCAGGTTGAAGATCAGAGGCGGCGTGAGGAAGAGTGGTTGGAGCGGGTTGCCACCATGGTGTCGGAGGCGGCAGAAGGTGGCGAGGATGATGATGATGATATAGACGAGTACATTTGACAATTAATGAACACTGAACACAATTCTTCGTCCGTTGCCCACTGGGGTATCTCGGCGCTTTCATCAAGTCTGATAAATCTCGACGTCTCGGTTCTGTAGACGGCTAGCGATGTTTCGGTTCACGTCCGTGAGACGAGGTATTCAAAAGCGATGATTCAGGGAATTCGAGGGCGACTCGCGGGCATAATCCGTAGGACAAAATGCCCTTGCATTCGACGGGGATAGACGTACGGAAATGATTATTTCGTATCTAGGACATAATTAGCGGCTTATATTTATCCACTTTCTGTTCATTGTCGTACTACATACCACTTGATTGATTAATCACCCGAGCGGGTCCAGACGACCTTGCTTTGTCTGTTATTTGGCCATGTTTGTCGGAGTCCTAGCCACATTCGCCTAAATAGCCATAGACCCAATCCGTCAACTTGCCCTCGTTCCAACTGTCAACCACTGCCACAGAAACGAAACACTTACCATCACCACTGGACACCTTCACTCGGACACAATGTCAGCACCACAGACGACCACATTTGACGTCCAAACTATCCTCGGCCGTCGTCGCCGTTCTTCCGACAACGCCACATCATGTGGCATCGGTCTAGAAGGCGAATCAAGGCCACGCAAGAGGCAGAGAACCCAGGGGAATTTCTTGGGTTCCCTGGCCCTGCTCAGCACGCACACCGCGTCCACGGTCTGCGATCTTGTGCCCTCGCTTGAAAACACAAAACAACAAACCGAAAGCGCCGTCGACGTAGCAGCGACAGCACCTGCGCATAACGCAGACAATACTGAGGTCATCGACCATTTTCCCGTGCCAGCCTCGGTTCGTAGCCGCATCGAAGAGATCTTTGACATTTTGACCGGGCGCATACCCCTGTGCGCCCTCGATTTCGACGTAAAACTGAGGATGCGCGGCGAACTAAGGGTCCTAGAAGAATGCTGGAAAAGATACAAGACAGCGGTGAGTTCTCGACGAGCACTCGTTACACGGTCGGGAAGCATAAGGCTTATGATACGGCTTTGAAGGTAAGAGATGCGGGCGGGGACCTACCCGTCGGATTGATTAGAGCCCGCCACAAGCTGGATTGGCTGGAGGTGATCAGGGATCGATACCGGGATGACGAGACGGCGCCTGAGGAGGTAATGTCGCTTGTGTCTCCGATGGATCTCGTGCTCACCTTGAATACTGTACTAAAAGGACGAATCGATATACTGGGATTGGCACAGCCCAGAGGAAGGATTAATCCCCCTCAACGAACAAGACGCCCGGGCTGAAGAGAAGATCGCCTCGAAAGCTGCAAAGATTCGCAGGAGGATCTTGAAGCCATGCTTCACCATGGATGAAATTCTGAAGAGATTCCCCTTGGAGAAACCAGCCGTGCCACCGGAAAAGTGCGACATCGCTATAGAGATCGTCGAACCTCCTGAGCCCTCCGTCGAGGACGAGAACGATGTCTACGAATATCAAGACGAGCACTTCCTCACGACGACGGAAAGGGATTTCCATCCTACGCCTGTTCAGCTGGACATGGAAAAACGGATAGTGGAGAAGGCCGTAAAGGAGTGGCTGAGGGAAGAGGAGAGATCTCTCAAAAGGATGGTTGAAGAGACGTTGGTGGGTGAAGAGAATACAAGACCCACGCCAGAGTGGGATGACGATGGCGATGAATCTTCGAAGACCGAATCACAGGCCGAGCAAGGCAATGGGGAGGCGAGCGAACAACCTACAGCTTAGCCTCCATTGGACCTGCCCGCCCAGGAGACGTGATTCAAGGACACTGGCTCACGTCTCGCTGCCGGAGCAACAAGGAGAGCCATCGACAAATCAAAGCTCGATCAGGGTGGTAGTCGAATGCCCCAGGCAGCCTGTGCGAGTCGCCACACCATGTATCGTCATCGGAGATGCTCGAGAGCGCGCCTTGCCAACTGACAGAACGGTGGATTCGATATCGCTCAGCGATTCAACGTGCATGGGGGATGCGATGTTGTTGTAGGATGAAGAACGCTGAAAGGAGTCTTCCTCTTGTTTCTCGTTCTTAGGGAGAGGTGATATGCGATATCTCTTTGTGCCCTTGTTTTTATACCTGGAGAAATCTGATCATTTGAAATCGAACAATGTATCCCCCTCGTGTCTTATCATCATGGATGACGGCCCGGATTCAAAGGCATGGCGAAAGGACCCCATGCATCATGGGTCATCGATAGCTCTCCGATATGTAGTCCAAGGCAGAAGGAGCAAGGTCGCTGTAGAACAAGGGTAAATAGTAGAACGGATGAACGTGGTAGTCGGAAGATGGGATAGGGTGAGATATTATAGTACCGGACCGCGTGCGGCGCCCACAACGCCTCCTCTAGACTACCGACCTGCTGGAGCGGCGCCGCTCAGGCTCATACTCAACTCTGGGATAGTGTTCACTATGTCTAATGTTCTGTCTCTGGACGAAGAAGTACGGTTATACACAACCAACGCGGAACGCGAGCGCTACGAGTCGCTGGCAACGCTCTACGGGATCATCGTCGCTCTCGATTATCTGGAACGGGCGTATGTACGGGACAGTGTACCTGCCACCGAGTGAGTACGTGTTGTTTTATTCTTGTTACTGGAACTGAGTTTTGACTGGTTCCTCTGGCGTTGGTCTGGAAGAGATACTCCCCGGCATGTACTCGACTGCTGTCGCAGTACAAGACGATGCATAAGCTAGTCAGCAATGACGTGCCCACGATAGAAACCTTCATGAAGCGAAATCGGGTACGAGCGGCGAACGTTACCCTTGAGCTCGAACATTGACGGCACGGACCGTTCTTAGATGGACTGTCCTGCCGCCCTTCACAGGCTGCAAGTGGGCGTCCCGGCTACGGTGGAGCACTCGAGTGAGGCCGGCCCAGAAACCGGGAAGTGGGTTGCTGAGACTACGCAGGTAGTTTTCTACGCACATCGACACGTCGTTCCCGACATGATTGAGCTGGTCACTTACGTTCACACTGCGTTTTTAGAGTTTCATCACTTTCATGGACGCCCTTAAGCTTCGCCTTCGCGCGAAAGATCAACTGCACCCTATCCTCCAAGAACTCGTCACCAGCTATGCGCGCTTTAAGGGCAGCAAGGATTGGGAAGGCCGTAGTCGGATGGTGAGCTGGTAGGCACTACTTCACTACCCGTCCCTTATCAGGCTGAGCTAAGCTGCCCGCTTAAGGTTGATTACGCTCAACGGGATGAAAGCTTCAGAGGAGCTTACGGACGAGCAGTCTCGTCAGGTGCGGTTTGCACCCTGCATCTCCCTAGCTCGTATTACTAATTAACATCCATGTAGCTACTGTTCGATGTCGAACATGCTTATTCTGAGTTCTTTAGATATCTTAGTGGATCGACTGGAGAAGGGTCGTGACAACGGGCAAGGTAAGAGTACCCGTCAGATCCCTATGCAACGGGATTTGCTGTAAGAGTACGTGAATGAAGTATCACAATGGATCATGTTTCCCCTACGGCTGTCGTGATATTGCTCGGAGTGACCGATACAGCTATTCGTGAAGGGGCGTCCTCCGCGTTACTCCCCGCATCCCCTTCATGTTCAGTCCTTTATAAACATGTGGACCCCGAATTACAGATTTGCGTTGGAGACAGCGGTTGCGTTGGTTGTGCCACGGTACGATACAATCTGTGGACTGTATCAACCATATTTCTATCCTATCCAGGTACACTACGTCTGAAGGTCGACCGCTCTGTGTTATCACTCGCAATTGACACTAATATGCGCGAAAACCGTTTGACACGTCGACGCAAGCATCGTTGGTGGGCGGACCTGTGGTCATCGCCGGAGAGCCCTCGCATGTGTGGCTTGCGTACAGCAAGATGGTGCAATTATCCAGAGAGATCTGCACGGACTCCAACGCAGTCATGTTCAATGCGCCGAAGACGCAGCCCGACCCGGCAGCACCGCCTGAGCTCGCCAAGATTGTGGTACCGTCGCAACCGCTGCCGGACCACGGACTCACTGCGAATGGTTGAGCCAGACAAAGGGGGAGCGAGGCGAGGATGGTGAGCTTGAGCATGGTAGGAGCCTACTCTAACGAGTCGACGCGCAGGTCAGTCGACGAGACCCAAGCGATACGACGATAGAAATTACATATCAAGAGTAGCTAGGTCTTCCGTTGAATGCTTTTAAGGTCAAGGACTCCCCTTCTGCTGTATGCTGCGAGACAAGAGTATGTATCGGTAAAGGGCCGTAGAAACACAAGGTCAACGGACGCACTTCCCGCTCCTTGAGATAAGTGCGGCTTGTGTGCGTTATGATGTGGCATATTTATACGCGGTAAGGAGTCCTGAGCACGGCGTCGAAAGGAAGGATTACTTCAAACCTGAACCTATATTCGACTAGCAACGGAGATGGTGAAACTCCGCGTTCCCAGAGGTAGAGTATACGTATTCAATGGTCTCCCCGGCGCTTTCAATTGCAAGATGGATGTGGCGGCAAATACCTTAATAGTATGCTACCGTCTCCGGGTCCTTCATTCTGTCAATGGATAGTGGGAGGCAAAGATGGACGTAACTAGCTCAGGCCCTCCGCCACTTACCCGAGCGTGGGATATTTATTGCCCTCCGATTGCACGCCGCTTGTTGTGGCTGAGATTGCCACAAATCACGACCATACGCAACCCTAAGTGCTTAGGCTCGTGACCAGCCTGTCGTACCAACATTGAGGGCAGAATATTGGTAGACAGGCTGGTGGATTTGGCGTGGGAATCCGGTATACGCGACTTAACTCTATTTCGCCGAGCAGCCGCTGTCATTTTTGAGCTGAGATTGAAAAATATACCTGCCCCCATGTACTTTAAGCCTGCCCTCATGTATTTGAGCCTGCCCTGCAGACGATCGAGATCGAGTAAGAAACGGTTTGTAGTCCACTACAAATGCGCTTTGATCATTCGCGGGTGTGACTTAGAATCTGCTGAGCACACTTGCCTCGGGCTGCTTGTCGCCGCAAATATCTGCGTCTCTGACCATAATGTCTAACAGACATCGGATGCCCGACACTGCGGAGGAAATACTGGCCCGCTCTGCACGTTCTCGATGGCTCCCCACTGGGCTCCCGACCACTCCTCAGCATACTACGCTGCCCCCTTCTCATTACTCTCCAGCTACAAATTCTTCGACAGGAGTTCCATATTCGCTTCCATACTCCCCGTACTCCCCCGCTCCTCATGTATCTCCTTATCATATATTTTATCACTATCCTCCGGCATATATCCCTCCTTATAATTATTACCCCCAGCCCGAGCTGCCGCAGGTAGAACCCCTTCGTTTACCACCATCCCGGACACCTGAAGGCATTGTGGGCAGTCAATTTCAACAAGTCCTAGGTGATCCGTTCACAATAACATCTCCCATTCCACAACCTAGTGCTACTGATGGCATAAACTTCGAAAGCGAAGCACTGGAGACACCGACCGGACCGCGTGAGCCAGCTGTACACGCCAGTGGCCCGGAACTCGGGGACATATCCTCGGAGCAGAGGCGCCAACGCCCACAACGTATGACCCCCTTGCAACGTCTCCATTCTGCTTTTAAGATCTTACGGACCGGCCACCTCAGCATTCGGGATGCGGTTATAGCGGTACTTGAAGACCCCCATGCTGAATTTGATAGATACCGGACATCTTGTTAGGATTGGATTGTATCGGACGCTTTCAGCAGCCACAATAACCAAATAGGTACAAACAGTTTCGCATTTTTGGTAATTGTTCTACTGGATGTACTTTTCCTTAGTCCGTTGCTCTATACTAGCCTCCGGTTTGTGTCTGTGTCTGTGTCTGAGTCTCTGGGCATCTTTAGTGTCCTTCTGGTCTATCCCTGCCACGTCTAATAGGTTATGAGCCCAACGCTCTGACCATAAGGACATCTTTGGCAATTTTCACCCTTATCACTTTCCGATCTATTCAACATCTACCTCGATCTACTCACCATGGCTATTGGCAATGCTATCCTCAAGGGTCTTGAGAGTGTCCCAGAGCTCAATGACTCCAACTGGTTCACCTGGTCCAAGCCTATGATCAAATTCCTGAATGCCTGTGGAGCACAGTATGTCCATGATCCTTTGACTGCTGCTGTTCCCAAGGACAAGGAGGTTTTGGATGGAGAGATTAACTGGTTGATCTATGGGAAGGTCTCTGAGGATTGGCAGTATTTGGTTGCTGATGTGGAGCATGCTTGGGAGTCTTGGAAGGCATTGAAAGGGCAGTTTGAGAAGTCGACTATGGGCAGCAGGCTGAAGGCACGTTCTGAATTCCACAATGTTGTCCACGACCCCTCGAAGCCCATCTCCCACTATGTCCAATCAGTTATGGCTGCCAGGGCTGTCCTGAAGAGCCTGGGCCATGAGCCTGATGATGTGGAGACTGGTGATGTCCTCCTCATGAATCTCCATTCATCTTTCGACACTATCCGCACCACCATTCTCACTTCCAAGGATGAACCCTCCCTCTCCACCATAAAATCAACTCTTCTTGGTTCTACTGCTTCCGCCAATGTCTTCATC